GGCCAGCCTATGAGTAAAAACATGCGGCACTCAGTTCTGCAATCCTTCTCTTAGAATGATGTCTTTAGCTGCATCCGTGTTGCTGCAAAGGACATGATTTTGTTCTTCTTTATGACTGCAACTTTTCATTTTTCAGTGGAGACTGCAGCTGAGCATCAAACAGTGAGTCATGAGGATTCAGCGAGGCTTCACTGGGTGGCTTTGTCCATAATAATAATTTCCAATATCCCTGTCATAGGAGGAACAGATTTTCCTCCTGGTCCTGTGTCTGTGTCATCTTGGTGACCTCCTGTCCCTCCCATCAGTCCGTCCGTCCGCCCTCCCCGCCACTGCATAATTTAAAGGTAACTATGCTTTGTCCTGGTGATGCGTCATCTTGAATCCTTTCATTGACAGACTTTACTCAGCAAAAATATGAGAAGGAAAAATTGAATTTAATGCAATCATTTTATTATATTGGCTGGTATACGATGCACCTCTGTAGCTGCATTATTTGAAAAGTCCTCTTATCATTATTTTATTTTTCCGATTTTGCTGTCTTGGTGCTTTGCAGTACTATCGATCAACTTACTTTTTTCTCTCCCTTTTTACTTTATCTTGCTTTGATGACTTTCAGTAGGTAAAACATGGAAGCCAAAAGAAAAAAAGAAGAAGAAGAAAGAAAAACGAAAAAGAAAAAGCAAGTGAGGAATGCGAAAAGTGCTTCCTAGTTATTGAAGTCAACTCTTTTGACTGCCACTGCTATAAGGTATTAGTTCTGTGAGTCTAACAAGATCAATGAAGAAAGGAAAAAGGAGACAGGGACAGGAAGAAGAAAGATCTTAATTATATCAAACCAGGGGAAGTCCCTGGCCGGATGGTGGAAGCATTCCATTTTTCCATTTGGAGACAGTATACCTTTGTCATCAAGGACATTTCCTTCCAGATCAATACTTACCAGAAAATGGCTCTTGTTGTTTGGCAAATTTCAACTTAATAGAATGTCATCTTTGGTGGCATTAGAGGGACAAAACCAGGCCTATCTGTGTACTGGCTGTATTTCTGTACCACCCCATACAGCTCCAAAGCTGCAGAGCTCTGGTCAGTCAAGCACTGAGTTACCAATGACAATGATCGATCGTTTGGACAGTTTCTTCTGTTCTCACCCACCGCAGGCTATTGCAACCCCTAACTTGTAATCATAACCACATCCAGCAATGGCGTTCCTTGGTTCTTCTAACATCTTAGTAGACCTGGGTTGAAAGACCTACGTAACATATCCCTCCTTTTTTTTCTTTCCAATTATTTTTTATTGTGATAAAATACACACAACATCGAATTTACTGTCTTAACCTTTTCAAGTGTGCAGTTCAGTGGTATTAAGTGTATTCACACTATTGTGTGTCTATCCCCATCTGAGCCCCAGAACTCTTTTTATCATGAAAAGCTAGATTCTATTAAACATCAACTCCCTGGTCCCCCGTAGCCCCTGGTAACCACCTTTCTGCTTTCGGTCTCTATGATTTTTGATTACAGTAAGGACCTCATGTAAATGGAGTCATATAGCATTTGTCTTTTTCCTTCTCCTTGTGCTCTACCTTTCCCAATTCCATTTAATATAATTCAAACATGGTTCCTCTCATGGGAGAGGTCATGAGGTCATTCTTTTGAGCTGTTTCCTTTCCCGCTATCTCTGGGGAAACAAATTTTAAATCTTGCCTGACCTCCTTCAGCTCTTCGTCATACCATTTATACGCCTCTCATTTAAAAAAGGCCTAAAAGTTACTGGGATAAGTTTTTCAACAGGTACGCGTTTTAAAGTGTAATTAGCCATAACAAAGAGGGGTAGCAGCCAACCCCTAAAAACTCTAAAATGGCTAAACGTTCTTTCCAAAATCTCCAAACAGTTTTAACTCATCTTTAATTAAAAATATTTCCCCTCAACAAGAAACTTTTATTTTTTTTTAAACTCACTGGTCCTGCTTTTTCTGGGAGGCAAATGCTCAGTATTCCGACACTGACGTTTTTCTCTTTATTCCATGAGAGGCGTGCAGAGTTCAACTGTGTTATGGGTTCAAGAGGTTTTTGAGGCCCGGAGTCTGGGAAGCAAATCACAACATTTAATGCTGCTTCTCCAGGGAAAATCTTCTAAGTTCCACATAACTCCTAGGAAATGAATATGTTGAGCACAGCCCATTTATAAACTGGAGGCTGAGGGGAGGTTATAGACTCCTCATGGATTTTCATGCGTGAGTCAAAGCAGAAAGCTGTTGGCCACATCTATGCCATAGGACATTAAGAAGTCACCACCAGATCTCAGCGGCCGGCATGTCCCCTAGCTGCTCTGGTAGAGTGTATAACCATCCCAGCTCAAGACCCACTAGCCAACATGCTGATCATAGAGATTATGTGAGCAATCTGTGACTTTGAGGCCCTGTTTTTGTTTGTTTTGTTTTATTTCGTTTTTGTTTTTGAGTTGGAGTCTCACTGTGTTGCCCAGGCTGGAGTGCTGTGGCCGCTTCCAGCCACCGCAGCCTCGACCTGCTGGGTCCGGCGATCCTTCCGCCTCAGCCTTCCACGGAGCTGGAACTACAGGCGCGCGCTACCACGCCCGGCTGATTTTTGATTTATTGTAGAGATGAGGTCTCGCCTGCCCAGACGGGTCTCGAACTGGTGGGCTCAGGCAATCCACTCACCTCGGCCTCCCAAGGCGCGGGATTACAGGCTGAGCCACTGAGCCCAGTTTGTTTTGTGTTTTTTTAAACAAATAGGCTGGGTGTGGCGGCTCACACCTACAATCCCAGCACTTTGGGAGGCCAGGGAAGGAGGATTGCTTGAGCCAAGGAATTTGAGACCAGAATGGGCAACCTAGTGAGAACTTATCTCTACAAGAAAAAAAAAATCAAAAGATTGACCGGGTGTGGTGGTGTGCACCCATAGTCCCAGCTACTCAGGAGGCAGAAGGATCACTTGAACCCAGAAGATAGAGGCTGCAGTGAGCCATGACCATGCTCCTGGGCAAAAGAGTGAGTCCCTGATTCCAAAATAAAAAACAATAACAAAAAAAATGGGAGAGGATGCTGAAATTGAAATAAATGTTTTCAAGATAGCAAGCAAGAACTACAGAAAAATTAGCCTGGAACAGAAGACAACTAGCTAACTGTATTATTTCAGGAGGAGACACAGGGGGTCATCAGAAACCATCAAAGAGCTTCAAAGCAATAAGCTAAAGAAACTCCCAACTCTTGCATAAAACACCAATTTAAAGATAACACATTAGCTGATGGTCTGGTGAGTCTCAGAGCTGGGAATATTGATCTATGAGGTTCTAGTCGAACAACTGCAAATAGCAAATGAGGCCAAGTTACTATCAGGGCAACAGACGCACTGTCTGGCTGTCTTCTTTTTGCTCCAAGGACCTGTGGGAGACTGGAGGCAGGCTGCCTTGTGTGGGAAGCCGGGAGCCTCCATTAATTATTTATTCATCCTATCCTTTGATTACTTGGTGCATGCACATCTGGCCTCCTCACTGTGGCCATAAACACCTAAAAGACAAGTAAATGGACTTCTACTTCCTTGGGATCTCCCATGATACCTCCACACTGCCGGGCACAGCATGGGCATCTGATAAACATAGCTTGACTCCCTCGTAGGAAGAAGTCCTGCGTACAGTCACAAGCCCTGAAGCAACATCCATCCCACATGCCTGTTTCTGCCCGACTTTCTGGGAAGAGCCTGATGGAGAATGCTGGTTTGACAAACTCTGGGAGCCAATTCAGAGTGGAGAAACCTTGAATCTTGCAGTAGCGAAAACTGCCTACTACCTAGAGACTATATGCCCCATGAGGGCAAGAATTATGTTTTGTTCCCTTCCCAGCTCCTAGCACTGAGTAGGGGCTCAAAAAAATGCTGAAAAGCCTGATGCTGATGATGAAAAACATATGAAACCAAGTTTCACCTCCACCCTGCTCCATGTATATCCCTTGCTCCGTGAAACATATGAAACCAGCATATGAGTCTCTTGGATCAGTCTTCCTGCACCTTGTGTTTTTCTTCATTCATTTTCTATAGCCAGACCCCAGGAGTGACTCCAGAAAAACCTACCAACATGGCACCCAACATGGTACACAGGGAGGGGGTGGCAGGTGGCGTTCCTCCCAGGTCTGACCAGGGGTCTGGGGAGGTTGAGGATCAAGGAGGAAGGTCATTGTCCTACTAGCTGTGAGTCTCAGGGATAGCTGTGGGTCTCAGGGCTTGCCGTGGATGGAAAATAGCTGCTTGAGAGAAATGGCCAGATGTCAGCTCGAGCTCTTGGCAACCTCCAGGAAGTGGAACGCGGCTCTGCATGGTCCCTGTCTGGCTGGCTGGCAGCTTCCTGCCAGGGAAGGCTGCCAAGTGGCTTGTGACAGCTGTGTGGTGCACACGTCTCCAAGGTTCTCTGGTGCACTGCCATTTCTGACCTGCCTGTCTGCTACTCGTGGGAAGTAGCTGAGAGGTTCAGATGCAGAGGGACCCCATCTTTTCATTGGCTTTCGATCTCAGCAGGCTGCCTGCCTATCTTGCACTTTAAGGTGGAAATCACAGGAGGATGGTCCCCAGCTTTTCTGGTCAATAGGAAACGACTGATTCTGTGTATGAAGGAGAGCTAGACTTCATGCTGCTACCAGTCACAGTTGGCATTCAGTGTGACCTCGTGACCATATTTGTTTACCAGCATCTTAAGCGATTGACATCTGTCATGGACCATCACTAGGAAAAACCACCTGCCTGAATAATTTTTTAGAAAATTAAAGCTAGCATTTTACCCATCTATTTCTTTCAAAGTCTTAGAGCTTGTTATTTGGAATGTTGACACCTAAAGGGATTTTAATAAGAGATCACCTTTTCATATTCTTTTACATCAGTGATTGTTACTTAGAGTCACTGTTTACTCAATTTTCCAATAGGAGGTGCATAGATATTACCTCGGGCTCACTCTGTCATTCAAGGAGAAAAGTTCAGAGTGAGATTTCAGACATTACCTTTCAGCATCATTCGTCCAGCAGATCCTCCAAGAGTGTTGAGAAGGCCACTTCTTGCTCCTAACGACGTGGTTGCTTCGAGGAGAGAACCGGTGATGTACTGAGACACGGAAGTCCTTTGGAGGGTGGCACGATACTCACACACAGAATCGTGGACACATCGCTTTACATGCGGGCCCCTGCTAATCCTTCCATGGGCGGTCTCGGCAGCAGAGAGCTTTGTGAAGAAATGGAGTAGAGATCCCACCGTATCTTCGGTTCCTTCTCCTCTTCTCACTGCATTGTAGGTCTGTGAATAGCACAAAGTACAGGAAGTATTCATCTAGTTTCTTAGAAAAGCAAATTAACTTGTTGACAGAATGCCAAGATGACTTATTAAGAAAGAAGGCTCAGAGGCTCTGAGCGCAAACACTCTGAGCCCTGGACGCATGCATTAACCTGAACATTCTACAGACACCATTTATTTGGAAAAGCTATGTGTAGTTATGAAACAGGCCATTCAAACAAGTCAGCTATCAAACAGAGCACTTACAAGTTGCACCAACCAAAAATACATTCAGCTCAAATTTCTCCTCCTCCTCAGCAGAGCAAAGCTCGTCTGCAGCGAGACCAGGGCAAACCTTTCCTCCTTGTCCTTCTGGTCTCTCCTGAGTGACTGCCCCATGTTTGTCTGCCTCCGTGGAGTGCTTCGGTTGACATTCATGGGAAATCTTTTCTCCATGCTCACACTGGAGTGAGGATGAGAAGGTCATGGGGAAAGAGGACGTCTCTGTGTCTCCCTTGGGCATAATCCTTCAAACCGTCAGCTGGGATTAAAGTCTTTGAATTCTTTTTTCTCTTCTTCCTCCTTCACCTCCCACATCTCCTGAGTTGACAGATCCACTCTTCCTGCCCTGCCCTGTGACTAGCCTGATTTCTTCTCCCCTTCTCATCTGAATTCACTCAGCATTGTCTCAGGAAGATTGGACTCTTAGGACAGATTCCCAGCCATGGCTCCAATGCACTCTGATGTCGTCTCAACATTCATGCTCCGTCCACAGACCCTACTCTGTATACAAACCCTGCTCCATCCACAGACCCTGCTCCATACACATTCCAACCCTCCTCTGTATACTCAGTCTGCTTCAATACACACTCTGCTTTATATATACACCCTGATTCATACGCACTCTGCTCTGTACACAGTCCCTGCTCTTGTTCAAGGCCCTGGACCAGAAGACATGGGACAAGTGCAAAGGTCTGCGCATGCCGCTTGCAATGCTGGGTTTCACAATCTCATTTAGAAGGTAAGACCTGAGACTGATAAGGTTTGACATTATTGCAGGAAGGTTTGGGGGTTTTGTCAAGCATTATGGGAAGCCAGAAATGTCTGGATAGTATATAAACAAAAAGAAGAACTATGCACGGGGTGAGGTAATCCAGCTCTCTGATGGTGGAAGAAAGGCTATATCATGTCCCTACTGCATCACCTTGAGCACCGTACTTTGTAGACTTGTCATTCATTCATCAAATCAACAAATGTGCATATGTTTTTATAAACCAGAAACGGTGGTAGGTCTGGATAAAAAAAACAGCTTCTCCCCTCAAAGAGTTCACAGTCTAGTAAGGGGAACAGAAGGAAAATAAAAAAAAAACTTCTTGTAGGGTGGAAATAAAGGCCACACCCTTTGATGACACTGATGAATAGCCAGGGAAGAGAAGACCCTCACTGTCCTCTAGGCCATGGAAGTGCCTGCATGCTACCGCACATGCCAAATCTCACCTTACCCAGGGCCCGTGGACATCGAGAGGACCTCTGTTGAGTTGTGCTAGGTCCTCATGAGACACTGAATGCACACAGAACCCCCATGATATCACGCTGGGTAGACCCTAACTAGATTTCTTCTGCCTTTCTCTGCTTACTGCGATCTACTTGTCACTTGAAGGCACAGCGTGAATTCTTAGCTTTAAGTCTCTGTCATTAAATTTTTGGTGTCCATGTGGCCATCGAGATGTTGGTGAGAGCTCAGATTGGTGTCAAGTATGTGAGGTTGTACTCCTGGCTCTACCTTGACCAGCTAGAGAGCTGGTCATGAACATGGACAATCTGACTTGAAGAGTCAGACAGCTTCCTCCTCGGTAAAATGACACAGTAACACCTCTTCTTCAGTATTTTGTGGGATTCACCAAGACAATACATGTAATATACTCAGTTTAGTGTCTAGAATGGACACCCATTATTGTTGGTCAAGTCTGTAGAAGAGAGTACAGTCCTCTGCCTCCAGGAACAATAGGTGATCATGCAACTACAGAAAATAGTCTTTGGAACTCCATGTGATGGAACGATGCCCTGCTTCTGTGTGATCAACAGGTGATTGTGTAACTACAGAACATAGTCTACGAAACACCATGTGATGGGATGATGCCCTGCTCTTATGTGATCAACAGAGAATGGCGTAACTATAGAGAACAATCTATGGAATGCCATGTGACAGAATGATGCCCTGTTCTTGTGTGATCAACAGGTGATCGTGTAACTATAGAGAACTATCTATGAAATGCCATGTAATGGAACGATGCCTTGCTCTTGTGTGGTCAACAGGGGATGGTGTAACTACAGAGAACAGTCTATCGAATACCACGTGATGGGATGAAGCCCTGTTCTTGTGTGGTCAATAGGGGATGGTGTAACTACAGAGAACCGTCTATGGAACATCATGCAATGGAATGATGCCCTGCTCTTATATGATCAATAAACGATCGTGTAACTACAGAGAACAGTCTATGGAACACCATGTAATGGAATGATACCCTGCTCTTTTGTGGTCAACAGGGGATGGTGTAACTACAGAGAACAGTCTATGGAATGCCAAGTAATGGAATGATGCACTCCTCTTGTGTGATCAATAGGTAATCGTGTAACTATAGAGCATAGTCTATGGAACTCCATGTGATAGAATGATGTCCTGCTCTTGTGTGGTCAACAGGCAATTGTGTAACTACAGAGAACAGTCTTATGTAACACCACGTCACAGAATGTTGCCCAGCTCTTGTGTGATCAACAGGGAATGGTGTAACTACAGAGAACTGTCTATGGAATACCGTGTGATGGGATAATGCCCTGTTCTTGTGTGGTCAACAGGCGATCGTGTAACTACAGAGAACAGTCTATGGAACACCATGTGCTGGATGGATGCCCTGCTCTTGTGTGTGGGCAGTATCACCCTAGTCTTATTTGGGTGTCCTGTGAGGGCCAATAGGGCAGAGAACTACAGAGCTCAAGACGTGATTTTCTTCTCTTAGCTCCAAACCATGCAGGCAATCCCCAGCACACTAAGTCCCACGCAAATCCCTCAGAAGTAAATGCTCGAGAAGTTCAGGGGAAAGAATCCCATGGTATGGCTTGGTGGCTAAGGAAGACTTACTAGGGAAAGCAGTGTCTGACCTGTGCCTTGGAATGCAGGCATGGCTCTAATCGGAGCACCACGTGAGCAAGGGTGAAGCGGCTGGCAAATGCAGAGTGTGTCCTGAGAATGGCGTTGAAGCAGGGTGTTGAGCACAGGGTAGTGTAGGGTAAGATGGGAAACAGAAATGTCAGTAGGCCTGAGGGAGGACAGTCTAGAATGTTAAAGCAGGACTTGAACCCACCAGAGGTCAGCATCCCTTGATGTTTTTTGTTTGTTTGTTTTCTGCAAAGGGTTTTGTTTTAAAAAGATTAATATGCTGGCTGGACATAGTGGTTCATGCCTGTAATCTCAGCACTTAGGGAAGCTGAGACGGGAGGATTACTTAGGGCCAGGAGTTCAAGACAAGCCTGGGCAACACAGCGAGACCTCCACCTGTACAAAGAATATAAAAATTTAGCCAGGTGTGGTGATGGCATGTCTGTAGTCCCAGCTACTCAGGAGGCTGAGGTGGGAGGATCACTTGAATGCAGAAGATGGAGGCCGTGGTGAGCTATGATCATATCACTGCACTGTGGCTTGGGTGACAGAGCGAGACCCTGTCTCTTAGAAAAAAAAATTAGAGATGAATATGCTGACAGTTCCTGGTTACTCGTGGTTGGCCTACTTTTTTCCTTGCCAAGCTGTGCCACAGACTCCCGGCGACCTTCTCATGACCTCACGCACCCTGTTTCCACATCATGCCTTCACAGATGCCCAATGGCTCACTCAGTCCAGTACCCAGCTTTTCCAAGGTGTTTTCCTCAAAACCCGAGACTTCAAAGGGATTGCCTTGGTCATGGACGTTTGAAAAAAGCTCAGTAACTATGTCCCCCTTTGGGGATCTTCATGGCATCATAGAAGATTAAAGAGAATAGAAAGGTCAGAGGAAAGAAATATATTTTCATTTGTTCAACTGAGTATTTTCCATGTAATTGGACCATGAATTTTTGCTTTTAAAAGAACACTTAGCCCATAGACGCAGTACTGTACCAAATAATATGGTTTGCTCTGAGAGCCTTGTCTTATTCTCATATCTGTGACTTCTGTGGAATCTCTGAAATAGACAGTCACCCATCCTTCCTGAAGTCTTTCCTGTCTCACCATGGTGCTGATCCACTCTGCCTTGTGCTGTGTCTCCCTTTCCACCTCTGGCCCCCAGGACAGTAATGATGCAGTAGAAAGATGCTAGCTAGTGACAAAAGTGATGGGTCACAGATTGGCTGACTGCAGGCCCCTTTCAGCCAACAGACCTGTTTCATCTGACATGTGGTCAGAGCATCTCCTGAGAAATGGGACAATCTGGTAACACTGAGCATTCCCACATGGTGTCAAATGGCTAGACCTTCCGCTGTTCGATGGGGAAGGAGTTCTCCAGTGGGTTAAACTCTCCCCTCTGTCGTGATCACAGCTAGCCAATATCTGGTCACCCTTCGTAGCTGTGTTTGGGATTCTTGTCTTATGAAGATATCAATATGGGCCTAGCACAGTGGCTCATGCCTGCAATCTCAGCACTTTGGGAGGCCGAGGTGGGTGGATTGCTTGAGCCCAGGATTTCGAGACCAGCCTGGGCAACATAACAAGACCTTTTCTCTACAATAAATAAAAAAATTGACCAGGTGTGGTGGCACACACCTGTAGTCTCAGCTACTTGAGATGCTAAGGTGGAAGGATTGCTTGAGTCCAGGAGGTCAAGGCTGTGGTAAACCATGACCATCGTGATCATGCCACTGTACTCCATCCTGGGTGACATGGATATATGTCCATATGCATGTAGATATATACACCAAACATGTACTGGGCTCCAGCGTGCCCTCTGTGCACTCTTGTCTGAGCTAGTTGCAGAGGACACAGAGAGAAAGCCTCA